GTGTCGTCTTTCCCCCCCCAGGACGAGAAGTACTGGAGCCGGCGCAGCAAGAACAACGCGGCGGCCAAGCGCTCGCGGGACGCGCGGCGGCTGAAGGAGAACCAGATCTCGGTGCGGGCGGCTTTCCTGGAGCGGGAGAACGCGGCCCTCAGGCAGGAGGTGGCGGCCGCTCGGAGGGAGCTGGCCCGATTCCGCGCCCTGCTGGCCCGCTACGAGGCCCGCCATGGGGCTCTCTAGGGACCCCCCCTGCCGCAGGGACCCCCGCTATGGGGCAGGGACCCCCGCCACGGGGTGCTCTAGGGATCCCCTGCCACACCGACCCCCGCCATGGGGCAGGGACCCCCACTATGGGGCAGGGAACCCCGCCACAGGGTGCTCTAGGGACCCCCCTACCACAGGGCCCCCTGCTGTGGGGCAGGGACCCCCACCATGGGGTGCTCTAGGGAACCCCTGCCACAGGGACCCCCGCCACGGGGTGCTCTAGGGATCCCCTGCCACACCGACCCCCGCCATGGGGCAGGGACCCCCACTATGGGGCAGTCTAGGGACCTCCTGGCATAGAGACCTCTGCCATGGGGCAATCTAGGGACCCCTCTGCCACACAGACCCCTGCCATGGGGCAGGGACCCTCGCCACAGGACACCCTAGGGACCCCCCGCCACAGGGACCCCTGCTATGGGGCAGAGACCCACACCATGGGGCGCTCTAGGGACCCCCTAACACAGAGACCTCTGCCATGGGGCGCTCTAGGGATCCCTCTGCCACACAGACCCCCACCATGGGGCAGGGATAACCGCCATGGGGCGTTCTAGGGACCCCCCCCTGCCACAGGGACCCCTGCCACAGGGGGCTCTGGGGACCCCCTGCCACAGGTACCTCCACGATGGGACAGGGACCCCTACCACGAGCCCCCATAGCCCTCGCCACAGGACACCCTAGGGCCCCCCCGCCACAGGGACCCCTGCTATGGGGCAGAGACCCACACCATGGGGCGCTCTAGGGACCCCCTAACACAGAGACCTCTGCCATGGGGCGCTCTAGGGATCCCTCTGCCACACAGACCCCCACCATGGGGCAGGGATAACCGCCATGGGGCGTTCTAGGGACCCCCCCCTGCCACAGGGACCCCTGCCACAGGGGGCTCTGGGGACCCCCTGCCACAGGTACCTCCACGATGGGACAGGGACCCCTACCACGAGCCCCCATAGGGACCCCCCAGTACAACCCGGTGCCCTATAGGCTGTAGGGACCCCCCCTATAGACACACCCCT